CAATTCCATATACAATAGCATCAAAAAAATTAAAACACTTAGGAATAAATTTAACCAAAGAAGTTCTACTTGTACACTGAAAACTGTAAAACATTGCTGAAAAAAATAAAGATGACCTTAATAAATTGAAAGACATCCCATGTTCATGGACAGGAAGACTTAATATAGATAAGATGCCAGTATGCCCCAAATTGATCTAGAGATTCAACACAATTTCTACCAGAATCCCAGCTGGCTTCTTAATAGAAATTGATAAGCTGATCCTAAAATTCCCTGGAAAATCAAGGAAGCAAGAATAGCTAAAACAATCTTGAAAGGAGAATAAAGTTGGAGGACTCATGCTACACAATTTCAAAACCTACTACAAAGCCACAATAGTCAAGACAATGTGGTACAGGCATAAGGAAAAACATAAAAATAAATGGAATGGAATTGTGAGTTCAGAAGTAAACCCATACATTTGTGGTCAATTGATTTTTGACAACGGTGCCAAGAGAATTCAATGGGGAAAAAATGGTCTTCAACAAATGGTGCTGGGACAACTGGATATCCACATGCAAAAGAAGGAATTTAGACCACTACCTCACACCATATACAAAAATTAATAATCAAAATGGATCAAAGGCCTAAAGGTAAGACCTAAAACTATTAAACTCTTAGAAGAAACGTGGATATAAGTCTTTATAATTTTGGATTAGGCAATGGTTTTTTAAGATATGACACCAAAAGTATAAGCAACAAATGTAAAAATAGGTAAATTTGAGTTCATCAGAATTAAAAACTTGTGTGTATTAAAGGACGCCATCAAGAAAATGAAGGGACACACCACAGAATGGGACAAAATATTTTCAAATCATATATCTGATAAGAGTCTAGTATCAAGAATATATAAAGAACTCATACAACTCAACAATAAAAAGACAAATAAACCTATTTTAAAAGTGGGCAAAAGATCTAAATAGACATTTCTCCAAAGAAGACATACAAATAGTCAATAAGCACATGAAAAGATACTCAACATCATTAGTCATTAGGAAATTCAAATTAAAACAATGAGATACCACTTCACACTCATTAGGATAGTTATAATAAAAAAAATTGAAAATAATGAGTGTTGATGAGGATATGGAGACATTAGAACCCTCTTACATTGGCTGGTGGGAATGTGAAATGTGGAGATGAGCTTGACAGTTCCTCCAAGGGTTAAACATACAGTTACCATAGGACCCAGCAATGTCCCTCTCAGGCACCCAAAAATTCAAAACATGTTCATACAAAAACTTGCAGATGAATACATGAATGTTCATAAAGCATTATTCATAATAACTAAAAAGTAGAAATAACTTAAAAGTCCATTAACTAATGCATGGATTAAAAAAAAAAGGTGACATATCCGTACAATAGAGTAGTATTCAGCTGTAAAAGGGAATGAAGTATGGATACATGCTACAACATGGATGTACCTTAAAAACACTATGCTAAGTGAAAGAAAGGAGAGGAGTGGTCTCATCAAGAAAACATAACAATCTCACCATTCTCCTCATTCCTTCACCGTTCTGATCCTGGATGCACAATGCATGCTAAGAACCTCTGAATGATGTGCTAGGTCATTTCTGTGAACTACAAATGCCCAACATTGCCTCAACACCCCTTTCTCAGAGAACTTCGTAAATAGGATTGTGGATGAGTTATGTGCCTGCATATTCCTTTCACTCTAAATCTCAGTCAAGGTTGATTGGACCAGGGATGAACACCTGGTGCAGGGGAAACACATCACAATTTGGGCAGATCCAATCACGTTCTCTATCCTTTACAACAGTGGATCTTGGAGGGACTCAATCTATTAATTCAAAGGGGCTTCAGGGCTGGATTTATGAAGCTGATTTCTAGGTTGCCCTCTGAGGCAATGGTAGGGTGACCAACCCATCCCAGTTTGTTTGAGACTTTCCTGGTTTTAGCATTGAAAATCATGTGGCATGGGAACCCCCTCAGTCCCAGGCAAACTGGGTGGTTGGTCACCCTAGAATGACACCACTGTGGAGCAGATACATATGTCCATGCAGAAATAGACAAGGGAAGCAGACACATGTGAGCAGAGATGTAAGATTATGGAGCCAAACCTAGAGTCAGTGAGAGTAGCTACCTTGATTCCTGATGATTTTCTGGTTCATTCTTCTACCTATACATCCATTTATTAGACCAAAGCTTATTGAGCATTCACCTTGTTTCAGGCAATTTAGTAGGGACAGGGATGGCCTCGAGGCCTGAGTATACTTCCCGCTCTTGAATTTTCCAAGACACCTGAAACAATAAATCCAATTTTTTCCATTGGATTTCCAATAAATCCCATTTCATGTTCAATGGTCTCTATTCCTTGCAACTAAACCATCCTTAAAACAAGGATGACATAACAGACAAAATAACAGACAATATAATTGTCTGTAAAATGATGGTAGGAACAGAGAAGAGGGCAAGAAGAGGGTGTTTCAGCTTAAAAATTCCACAGCTCTTTGAATCAGTGCATAAAGGACTCTCCTGTTTATGGTATATATCAACATGTGTCCTCCTATGGGGCCAAGTTTGAGAACAGTGACATCCATGGATCTTAATGGCTGGGAACAGGAAGATTAAGCAGACATTTTAGGTGTGTGCCTCAGAAAAAGAAAACTTCCAGTGTTGTTCCAAGAGTTCTCCAATGAATCCTGGTTGTATGCACTAGACCAGTTGCTTTCAAACATTTTTGACTTCTACCCAGAGAAAGACATACAGTTAAAAGGAATGGACCTTGAGCCAGCCCTGATGGCCTAGTGGTTCAAGTTCAGTGTGTTCTGCTTCCAGGTTTGGTTTCCAGGTATGGAACCACACCACTCGTCTTTCAGTGGCCATGCTGTGGTGGTGGCTCACATAGAAGAACCAGAAGGACTTACAACTAGAATATACAACTGTGTACTGGGGCTTTAGGGAGGAAAAGAAAAAAGAGAGGAAGACTGGCAACAGATGCTAGCTCAGGGAAAATCTTTCCTAGCCAAAAGAAAAAAAAAAGGAATGGACCAGAGTATAACTAGTCTTTTTAATTTGTTTAATTTTATATAAATTATAAAAACATGCGCTCGAAGTAAGGTATATTTTGCAAGAACATACATATAGCAAAAAAGATAATACATTAAACACATTATAATGGTTGCCTGTGGGGGTCAAGGAGGTGAATGAAAGTGGAGGATGGAGAGAAAAGGGGGATAAAACAAGAAAAGGAACTTATGCTGACCAATGGGAAGATATAGAATAGATTCAGTGTAACTGAGATGTTTTTAAAAATGCATTTTACCTTGCAACCCAGAACACATGTGTATGTTTAGCTGTAACAAATGTTTCACAAATCATTATTTACCTTCACTATGTTAAATATTCTCTAGTTTTGTTTTATTTGATTTTTTTTTATATGCTGGTCACAACCTAGCTTTCACATCTTCCTCATGTGGCAGGACCTATAGCTGGAGAACTGTGCCACACCTCAGTGACAAGTGTGCGTGCTCGGTAGCAGACCATCCAGCCGCTCTCAATTTGTCTGACAAAGACTCCAAAACCAATTAAGCACAGAAGTTTTTGCAAGGAGTGGAAACAGCTTGCCTTTCTTCCATTCTACACAGGTGCGTTTTGGATTTATTTCTATTTCCAATTGAAGTTTAGAACTACAGTGTGGTAGACAAAAAATAGTCCTCCAAAGATGTCCACGTCCTAATCTCCGGAACCTGTGAATTTCCTAATCTCTAGAACCTGTGAATTTGTGACCTTACATGGCAAAGGAGAATTAAGTTTGCAGATACCATTAAGGTCGTTAACAGCCAATTAAAATTGGGAGATTATCCTGGATTATCTAGTTGGGCCCAATGGAGTCACAAGGATCCTTAAAAGTGGAAGAAGGAGACAGAAGAGAAGACCAGAGCGAGGCGATGTGAGCAGGACTTCATTGCTGTTGCTGGCTTTGAGGATGGAAGAAGGAACCCACCAGCCAGATAATGTGGGTGCCTCTAGAAGCTGGAAAAAGCAAGGAAGTGGGTCTTACCCAGAGCCTGTAGAAAGGAATGCGCCCTGCCAACGCTATGATTTTAGCCCAGTGAGACTAATGTCAGACTTCTAGCATACAAAACTGTTAAGATAATGATTTTTGTGTGTTTAACCCACTAAAGTTAGTGGTAATTTGTTACAGCAGCAGATGCAAAATAATCTATGAGTGCAGTTAGAAAAATTGGATCTAATCACTTGCTAAGAAACTGGTAACTACAAATCCCATAATTCTTACCCCTGAGGAAGGAGCTCTAAACTTCAGACTCGTTATTACAAATCCAGGTAGAGCTACTTGGCAACAAGAAAAATAAACAGTTTCAGAAGCAGCCAGAGATTAGAATCGCCAACGTCTTCTTCCAGACTGTGTCTTTTGGTATAAACTTCTACTTTTTTTTTTTGTTTTTAACTACTTTACTCTAAAAAGGACTAGAGAGTAATTCAAAAGATATATAGAAATCATCACTCATGGTAATTATCTCAAATATGGGAATTCATTGGGTGATAGAAATTGAAGAAACAATGGCTCTCAGAGTCCTGAGTGAAGGTAGTTTTTCTGAATCAGCAGTTAGTAACATCTCCTGGGTCACAGACCCATTTGAAACTCTTTTTAGAAAAATGTACATACAAACCTACAATTTTGCATTTGTTTTTACCGGTTTTACCACCTTTCTAATGTTTATAAACCTGAGTTACAAGCAGCTGATCTAAATAGATATTTCCATGATGTCAGATTTAATTTTAGTGAGAGATAAATTTCTTAGAAAACATCCATGCGATGGAGCACCAATTAGCACACTAGAAATAATATTCTCTTTATTCTAGTTAAATGTGAGGGACTAGATTTTCTTCAAAGGGCTTATGCTTTTTGTTTTTGTCATCAGTAGGATCTAAATCCACTACATCCTTGGGAAAGGATGTTAGCCCTTAAATCTCATTGCTGTGAGCGCTGTGTGAGGGATTTTGTCAGTCGCATGGCTCTGAAGTATCACTTTCACCAGAAGCATCTTGGAAAAGTTCACTGTGAAAAATGTGGCCAAGAAGTCCTGAGGGAGAAGCTCCAAGATCACAGTAAGGTACAAGTGGGTACGAGTGGGTGAAAATGTTGGGGTTTCCTCCACTTTTTAAAAAAAGCACACTCGGGCTTCTTATTTGTTGGTTTTGGTTTTTAATTCTGTTCATGGAGATTTGTTAAGAGAAAACTAAAAATTAAAACAAAACTCGTGGCCATAGGGCAGGTGGTGGGCTGCTGTGATGAAGGCTGCTTGTCTCAGTCACCTCAGCTGGAAAGGGCCGGTCTCACAGGGCTGCCGGGCAGAATTTCAGCAGAATTTCTTGAACACAGTGTCATATCCAGGGAGCTGCAATTATTGTAATTATTATTCCACAGTGATGTGTGTAGCGATAGGATTCTCACAATCCTAGAATTTTTAACTTTCAAAGTGACCTTAGAGATAGATTAATGTACTTCCCTCCTTCCTCCTCCCCGTTTTACAAATGAGGGAACAAAGACCCAGTCAGGTTCAATGATTTGCCCAAGGCCTTGCAAAAAGTGTCAGAAAAAGAACTAAGATCTCATTCTTTTGATTTTATAAAACTAAACCTAGTGCTTTTTAAAAAATATCTTTATTCAGCATTGTGGTTTCTATGGTTCATTGCTTTATTAATCTACAGCAGTTTTTCATTTGTATCAAAAGAACTAATGGACTTGTGCTATGTTTTGAGAACGTAGAATGAGAATTCGCTGTGCCCATGAATGGGAGTACTTAGTGAGAAGCCAAATGAAGACCAGAAGATCTTTCAAATAGATCTTACAATGCCTGTGTTAAGTATCTACTTTTTCTCAGTCTGTATGTGACAGGTCAACCACAGAGACACACAAGCTAAACTGGGAAAATCTAGAAGAAAGGAATATAAAGCATATGGCTACAAAAGTATCAAAAACCTGTATGATGTGTTCTAGGCACTTTGAAACAGTCCTTAGTCGGGAGAACCACGAAATGCAAGAGCATCACTTCACAGCCAGTAAAAGAGGTAAAGGAGATGCCTGCCGCTTTCTCTTTTTGGAGGTTTGGACAACATAGAAACCATAAGTTGGTTTGCCCTCAGTGCAAGGCATTATGTGTTGTTTCCAGGGACAGGAAATAGAGATGGAGGAGGATGGAACCGGGATGTGGCTTGAGACTACACGCTCTTGGGGTGGCCCGGGCCGAGTATAATTCTGCAGAGCCACATTTAAGGAGGAAGCTTGGAAACCAAGGCATTGTTCAAAGAAACAACATAGTTAGAAGAAGAGTTCTAGCGACTTCCAGTCAGAAGAGGGACAGTATTAGGGATCCAGGTGGGATCAGGTTATGGTCTAGCACGTCAAAAATAACCACAAAACTAAGGTATTATCTTTTGCTCTCATATTTATGCTCTGTCCTCTAAACTAACTGTTGGTTGCTGCTCTAATGAAAGTCTTTTAATAAATTAAAATTTTTTCCAGGACACAGTAATTGACTCTGGATACAAAGTATGTCCCTGAAAATTGATCAATTTTTGATGAAGTGTACCTAAAGAGAATAATATATAAATTGGCTATTATGTTTCAAGCAAAAGAATCAAAGTGTCAAAAGAAAAAAAAACCAATATGTCAATTTGGCATAATTGATGAAACTTAAACGGGCCGAGTGTCCTCTGATATACAGTTTCTTGTGATTGTTTAGTCCCGAGTATGTTCTGATTTCCATTATGATTTCTTCTGTGATCCATGACTTATTTAAGGTATGTTTTTTAAAATTTCTAAAAGTATGAGATATTTTTAGTTATTTTGTTACTTATATCTCATTTATTTGCATGGTGGTCAGAAAATGTAACTTGTGTGATATCAGTCCTCTGACGTGTTGAGTTTTATCTACAGCTGGGTATATGTTCAGTTTTTGTGAGTGTTCCATATGTGCTTGAAAAGGAAGTTCTGGTTGCAAGGTCATTCCCAGAGAGGATTACTGAGTTTTTCTTCAGGGCACCTGGCCTTCCTCTAGCCTGAGGCCACTCTCAGATTAATTCTCAGTGATAATATGAATTTGTTCTGTAAACCTGAATGAGGGCTACTTTATGATGGCAGATTTTCGGAGATTTTTTTTTGTGATCTATCCAGTGCAAAAGTTATGGACGTCTCTTTGCTGTTGAAGGGGATTAGAATATGCCACCCCCAAAATATGCCAATCTGGCATATTGATTATTTTGAGCTGAAGACAATTGAGAAACAGTAGATGCAAAAAGAACTCTCTGCCTTCCCCCTTTCTGCCTAAAAGCAGGCCATAAATTCTCCCCTCTCCTGTACCAGGATGAGGAGAACGTCCCTTACCACTGGGGACTTGGAGCCAGCACATAAGTCTGTATAAACAAACCTTACTAAAATAACCCTTATGTTCTGTTTGTTCCCCTATATATTTGCTAGTCACCTTCCCACAATTTATTGGGCCCTGGAAGCCCCAAGCCCACTTCCCTTTGTCTGGGCACTTCTCCACAATTTATCCTCCTTTGTTAAAAAGGTATATAAGCCCCTGAGTCTACTTTAGGTTTTTATTTCTTTTCCATAAAGGACCCTGTGCACATAAAAAAATATTAACATCAATAAAATTTGTATGCCTTTTCTCCTGTTAATCAGTCTATTGTCAGTTTAGTTTACATGCCCCATTCACTGAACCTAGCAAGTCAGTTATTCGGTTCCTTCCTGTGAAGGGTGTGGTCAGTCTTGTCAGCTCTTCTGGCTTAAAACAAATACACACACGCCTCTCTGATGTCCCCATTTTAAAAATGTACTATCTCCTGATTTCTAGATGTTGGCTCAGTTTTTTTCTTTTTGAAAACACTGTGCAGGACAAACCAAACATTCTGTAGGCAGAATATGGTTGTGGGCTGACAGGATAAGACCTTTAGAATAGAAGGTTTAACTGGGAATTCTTTACCCTGGGATCATTTTATTGAATCTTGTTAACATACATGCTTTTCATTTAGAAACTTAAAATGACTTAGTAAATTAGGATAAGGATTTTTTTCTGACATAAGAATGTCTGAATATCTCAGTTTTCTAAGAAATTTAGCCATTTCTCTATGGAGACCTAGGGTTACAATGTCAGCTGTCTGGAGGGCGTGAAATCTACTGGTTCACCTGATGCTCCACCAGCAGAGAGAGTGGGTCTCCCTCTTGTCACAACAGGGCAGCCCTGGTGATTAACTAGACACAATTTGCATACAAAATTAGATTCTTCCCTTAGACACACGCACATTTATTTCTGTGCAGTGAATATCAAATACTGATCATCTCTCTCTGCAGCCCGAATGTCTACAAGATTTTCACCTCATAATATGTTGGAGTGTAAAAGTCCCCAACAGCTACAGAGATTTGCAGGTGAAAAAATCCGCCCTGCCTCGGGTCCTCTGAGCACTGCTTGTGTGGCTGAAATTGGTGCCCTGGTCCAGCTGATCTGGGGTTGCTTTCCGGTGCCGGCCTCCCGAGTGATCCAGGTAATCTGAGCCCCCAGCCCGCTGGCTAGGCCACTCAGCCATAAGGAAGCCATTCATTGCTCTTGGAGGTAACTCATATCAACCAGGCAGGGCCACATGTTCAGAGGCCAGCTTCGCCTTCTGCCTGGGGTGACGGCAGGTCTGCTAGGAGCCCTTTGAAATGCCCGGGCAGGCTGCAGGCTGGTGGAGCGAGCACGCAACCGTACAACAGCTGGAACCCATTAAGGTTGGCAGTTTTTGCCCAAGGGACGTAAATGCCTTTACATTGGCAGGGCCGAGGACTTGGCTCACACTTGACCGATATTTGTAAACGCCTAGGGGAATTTCAGGCAAAGGACAGGAGCCTATCCCCCAGGGCCCTGTTTCATGCCTGAGCAAACTGCCTGGGGAAGTAATTAGGTGCCGTGATGATGGGTTCCTTGTCAACTTAAAGACAATTCATTGTACTCCGGAATGGTTGTCCACAGAGCGCAGGGTCATTCTGTGAAAATTTCCTTGAAGGAACATAGCCTGAACATAGGGAAGAGATCCAAACAACAATAATGGCATGGTTTCTCTCCTATTATTATTATTTTTAATGTTAATACCATGACTACATACTATCTAATCAATGTTAACAAAAAATACAGGATATAGTTCTGAGGGCATTTTATTCTGATAATTTTTCCATCCCTTCATTTTATTTTTTATTTATTTTTTTGTGTGTGAGGAAAATCAGCCCTGAGCTAACATCCATGCTAATCCTCCTCTTTTTGCTGAGGAAGACCGGCTCTGAGCTAACATCTATTGCCAATCCTCCTCCTTTTTTCCCCCCAAAGCCCCAGTAGATAGTTGTATGTCATAGTTGCACATCCTTCTAGTTGCTGTATGTGGGACGCGGCCTCAGCATGGCTGGAGAAGCCCTGCGTCGGTGAGCGCCTGGGATCTGAACCGGGGCCGCAAGTAGCGGAGTGTGCGCACTTAACCGCTCAGCCACGGGGCCGGCCCGGCATCCCTTCATTTTAAAATGCACACATAATTGTTATAAAATCATCTTTAAACCATAAATTTATTCAAAAGGAAAAATTATCTTTTACTGTAACTCAATAGCAAGCATAAATATGATTTATGAGTATGATTAAATTCTAGCTAAGATAGCTATGGTAAAAGCCTGAATATGAAACAACCTATTTTCTTCTATGGAGATAAGGTATGGCACAGAGCTAGAAATTGGGAGCCAGAGTTCTATTCCTGTCCAGCAAGATGCTTGCTGAAAACAAGGGCCAATGATCAATTAAGCTCTCAAATTTCTGTGCCCTGTACTCCATTCTTGTGGCTTGACAATACACATTAGCATATTAAGAACTCTCAGGTTAAGGAAGCACTAAAAACTGCATTTCCCACATTCTCTTGCCACTATGATTTCTAATGGGAAATAGATTTGTCAATTAGTTGCACTAGTGCAAGACTGAGTCCAGAACTGAGTTAAGTCAGGGAGAGGCAGTGGGGCATGTGGCACCTGTTTTAGCTCGTCCAGATGTAGTGGATACAGAACGACTTTGGAGCCAAGAGTTCTGGTGATGACTTCTAGTCCCTGGGTTTCCAGTAGGGCAGGTATTTCTCACTGCACAACTGCAGAGGCAGCTTCTTGATTTCTAGATCTCAGCTAAGGCAGGAGAGTCCTGGAGCCAGCAGTTGCCACGACAGCTTTCAGATTCCCAGCTCTCTGATTGCAGCTGGGGCAACAGGTGCCTTAGCAAGTGAGTTCTGCATTGTTATTCTGCAAGCCATTCCTAAAAGTCCAGTATAGAATCTGTTCTAGCTATTCCAATGATTCTCTGAATTAAGTCCCTTTCTGCTTAAAGCAACTGGGATGGTTTCTCTTACCTGCAAACCCTTATTGTGGCTCTCCCGTTTGGAAATGTTGCTCTGAAGTATCTGTAATGATCCTATGAGGTGGGAGATCTACACATGCCCTTTCCCCTTGACCCACCCTGCTCTCGTTGGTAGGTGGTATCTGTTCTCCTATTTTCTCTAGTGGTAAACATTTTCACAATCTGTGAACTCTCCCCTCTGGCCAAGCTGCCATGTCCCTGTGAAGAGCTCAGCCTCCTCCCAGGGCAGGGAGGGCAGTGCTGAGACTACAAATGGCACATTCTTGCTCACCTCAGGCTCCACACAGAGCCTGACTGAATGGGCTGTTTGAAATCCTTAAGAGATGAACATACAATAAATGAGGGAAGAGAGGGTTCAGGGCTTTGGAATGTTTTCTAACTCTGTGAAATTGCAGTGTCACATTCAACCTTTGACAGATCACTTTTCTCTTATGGATGTGATGTTCCCAAATCATAGGTAACAGTTTCCTTTATTGCTAAAGAGGCTCCTTTGGGAACTTGTAACCTAAAATTTTCCTTGAGTGCTATAGAAGGCAAAGAGATGCCATTAATTACTAAATGTTTTGACTTTTATAAAATCACGTTTAGCAAGAGATTTGAAGTAAATTCTCATTAATTATAATGACAGAATACTTTATTAAAATCATTCATCATCTGTTTAGAAACACTGCACACTGACATTCACCAGAAGCATCAGTGACATGGTTCTGACTCTCACAGGTTGGGTTTGTCTTAGGACGCCTGTGTCCAGGGTCGCCTGTCCGGGTAGTCAGTGAGGGCTGCCGTGTGTGAGGCTCGTGCTGAGTTCTGGGTGTATGGTGGTGAATTTAATTCCTGTCCTCATGGATTCCTCACAGTCTAGTGGCTTTCAAGAAGAAAGAGTCTGAGAACTTCTAGCTCTAACCATTCATAAGGATTTTCAGGGCTTTTCTGCAAATTATGCTTTCTTTTCACAACTGAAGCTAAATTCTCAGTAGAACAGATAGATTACTTTCTCCTTCTCCCGTCTTTTTTTCTGCTGGGGGCAGGGGGTTAACTAGCCCGTACATATAAGTTATTTCACAATGTTAATTGACCCTAGAAGCGCTACAACTTGAAATCTGCGCTTCCCTCAAGTTTAGCTGGGGTTTTCCCCGAGTCCTGTCCTTTGTCTTCACAGGATGGTTCTTATATAAAGGGGACTGACACCCGAGGATGCTCTGAGATTGACATTGTGTTGTTCAGTGACGTGTTTGCCAATGTGAACCATCGCAAGAAACAACTGAGAGAAGAGTTGGCTGCTCTGAGAAAAAACTTGAAGCAAACTTCACTCGGGAACAGGTCGGGGTGAATGTGTTTCTGTGAATTATTTTATTCCACAGGTGGAAAAGACTGGTCAAGAAAACTCTTGGTTCAGCACAAAAGAGCATTATTGAGTAATAATTACTTGTGTATGCTAACGTTAAATTCTTGGGAGAAAGCTGGGAGGGATTGCCCCAGAGGCATTTTTTAAAAGACTTCTAGCTAAATTTTCAATGAAATTTCATGAATTTGAGATCCTATGATTTAAGGACTAATTATGTCTTCTCCAATGCACCTTTATTTAATTTCCATCCGCTTAGCTGAAATCTGACTCTGAGGAATGCAAACAGGAAGGGCTGGGAAAGGTGCCTCCAAGGACCGAAGAATCTTGGAGACACATTTGTCTGATAAACATTCCCTTCAGCGATGTCTTGAGGTCTCCTGCTGATGTGGCTTTGCTGACATTAAACACAACGTCTCTTTGCCCCAAATGTTGAACTAATCAGGCCTGGTTTTTTGGTGAGTTCCAAAAAGAAAGAAAAGAAAAGGCCTTGACATATTGCTATCTATTTGTCTATTTCATTTTTACATATCTTGCCATTTTTTCAGTCTAGTGAATTGTGGATGGAGAAAAATGCAAATAACTATGATGTAAAGTGAATAAAATATTTTTCTTGAGAAAAACAGAACAGGCTGTGTACCACTTGAATTCTAAATAAGATCGATGTTTTAAAACAATGTCCCAGAACTGTTTATTAATTTAAATAATAGGTTCATTACCAAGCCCTTGCTTCAACTGAGTATAGAGAACGAGCTTGAATGTGTTTTTTAATGAAAAACACTACCTTCAGGAATACCAAACACCTACTAAATTGTGGTAGTTAGCAGAAGACGTCAGATGAATGGCATGGTGGTGACTGTAATGAAGCACGTTGGGGTTGGAAAGGCAAAAAGGGAAATGATGGAGTTTCACATACGATTACACTTTGGACAGGCAAAGACCACCTTTAAGAAAAAAGGAAAAAAAAAGAAGAAATGGGAGAATGTGTTTTTCATTTTTACCCATTGCTTCTTCCAAGTTTTCCCCATTAAATTTGTAAACTATAGGGTATATTATACCATTGTTATTATTATTTATCAAAACAGGACAGTTAATGTACCCAAAAGGCACATTAAAAATAAGAGTTCGGGTGTAGCCTTTCCATGGTGACCTTGTTTGGAATCAAAATCTTCATCCTTCCTTGTTATGTCCTCTTTCTATACTCCCTGCCCACCATCTTCAAAGAATCTTACAGATGCGCTCTCCCTAACTAACCTCTTTTCCCCTCCTCTGTGTCTCAGGCACCTTTCTCCTGGACAAAGCTGTACTTGAAGTTTTTATGTTGTTAGATTTCCAGAACCAATTTTGAAGTAGAACCCGTGAAAAATAACAGCCCTGAAAACCTTGGTTCATTTGCTTTAATTGTTCCTGACTGAAAACAAACAAACTCATTTTCTAACCTCTGTTCCTTCTATTCTTTCAACATTAAGTGATTTAATTTGTAAAGCCTTTAAAGTTGAACTGAATTCCCAGGTAACCACTAGCCTTTCCTTTGTGCCTATTAAATGCCTGTTCCTCTTCCCTTCCTCAGAGTGATTTTTCAAGGGGCTTTTAATTCAACCCAGAATATATCGTAGCCCATATTTTGTTTTGCTAAACAATTCCTGCGGCAAAAGAGGAGCATATTTGCAGAAGAATGAGACTTCAAGGCAGACTGAGGGAGGAGGACATGAAGTCAGGACAGGAGGCAGATTGTCCAAGGGTGTTTCCTTGTCCTGATAGCTGTATGCACAGTCGATTTTTCTGGCTTTCTTCTCCGCTATGCAGAGCAACCAAGACCGTACCACAATTCATTTGAAGGGAAAATTGAATTAAAAATGGAAAAGAAGCAGATATGTGTCTGACAGTTGGTTTTGACTCCCACCCACTGAGAGAGTAAAGAAGTTTATTGTTTCAGTTGATACCTGGTTTTTAGTGATATATTGTTTGTTGCTGTTATTTTTAAAGCTATTCGGTTACTTTATTTTGAAAGATGGGTGTGAGAAAAGTCTTTCTTTTCCTTTGGAACTAGTCCACGTCTTAACCTACCAGTAACAGCAACTGTTCTGTGTCAGTCATTTTCCGGGCCCTGCTTGTGAATGAAACCTCAGGAGACTTGCCCAGTAAGTCCAAGGGACTGGAAATCATTTCCACGCCAGAGGCTCTGTGCTCCTCTCTTTACATACCAGTGTGTTTGTTATTGGAAACCACAATGGGGAAACATTTTCCGAGCTTTTAAGGAGACGGTGTTGTAAAATGTGTGTCATGCCTCTGACAGTTATGGTTAAAATTGGGATTTTTGCCCATTATCTCTTATTTCTTATTGCTTTGGTTTAGAGGTCTTGAAAACAAGAATCTCTCTGTTTCTTTACGTTATAATCTTAAGGCTCTCTTCTGATAAATAGTCCTTTTAAAGCCACATTGCAGGACATGGAGTTGTCCTGACAAGACATGTCTGTGGACTAGAAATGTCTGCTGACAAGAAATAGAAAGTGGCAGATAATATCACCTGAGGACTCATGACCAAGCACTGCTAGGATCCATGCCCCATTTCCACTCATAAAAATAGCAAAACTCTTTTGGATACTCATTGGACAGTAAGGTTCACGTAAGTTAGCCTAGGATAGTAATGATGCTCTCATTAACCTTGACCCATTCTGGAAATGACCTGAACTTCCCAGATAATTCAATACTCACTCGGGCCCCCTGGTATCCACAAAAGTAAACTTCACCCACCTAGGGTCGTGTCTCCCAAACATACAGTCACCATGTTGAGCATAGCAAGATCTGCCTCTAAACTGTGACAAGAATGATAAGCTACTGATTTACTGAACTCCTCTCTCTCTCCCTGACTGAGAGAGAAAGCTATACCCGTGAGAAAAGTTAGGTGAGGGAATTTAATAATGATTGAATGTATTCCTTTTGTGGTACATGGAGCCAATGAGAACTTCAGTTTTGACATTAAAAAAAAGTATTCCAGAGTTATAAATTTTCAGAAATCTCTGTTCAATTTAAGTGAAAGATTGGACATAATATATAGAGAGAGACATTCTTTTTTTCGTTTTGGATACTGTCTATTGACCTGTCTTACAGTTCACTAATTGTCTTTTCTGCTATATCTAATCTTTTGTTAAATTTATCCATAAAGTTCTTAAGTTCAATTATTATATTTTTTGGTTCTAGAATTTCCACTCAATTCTTTTTTATGCAGGTAAAATCCAACTCTGGTTTAATTTTCCATCTTTTTGTCTACTTTTACTGTCTATTCCTCTATGCTATTGAACATATTAATCAGTTAAAATCCTTACCTGCTTGTGCCAATATTTGGATCACCTACAGGGTCTATTTCTACAGTTTATTTTTTCTCTTAGTTTTAAATCTTGTAGCCCTGTTTCTTGGAATTCCTAGTGACTTTTTAAGATTAAAACCAGGACACTGTGCATAAAATATCTTAGGTGCTTCAGCTGATGTTTTCTTTTTCCAGGGAGGGTTTACCCTTTCCTCACCAAATAGATAGAATTAGAGCTGATGACTCAGGTCACACCCCATACCCATTAAATAAAAATGTCTGGAGGTCAGAGTAAGGGATCAATACTTTTTAAGAATCCCCAGGTAATTCCAATATGCACAACAAAGTTGAGGAAGCACGATTACAGCCTAGAATGTTCACCAAGGACTTTAATCCTTGCCTCCTCAGCCCCTGAGACTGAACCATGTTGCCTCAGCCTGGCAAGACTGTCAACAATTCCGCTCAACTCCCCAAGACTTCATTTTTCTCTGCTTCATTTCTTAACCATACCCGTCTTAAGCATCTTCAGAATTCAGCAAATGTTTGGAGAGAAAGGCAGGTCATATTTCAGGTTCAATTCTCCACCCTTCCCTTTTCAACAGGCTCGTGGCCTCCAATTCTCTTACATTGCTTCAACCCCATGAGCTTGACAAAGTTCTTCTGGTTACTTTAACCCCAGAAGCTTCCTTTTGCCCAAAGTCCATATTTTCAGCCTCTTGTCTATTCCCCAAATCGGCATATGTCCCCAGGGAAAAAGCAGCAGACTATCAGTCCACCTTTCCAGGACCTACTGTCCCCACCCCTCACTAAACCTTGACCTCTCTAGCTTCAGCAACTCTTCAATGCCTCTAAAATGCATGTACACATGATTTTTTAAATCCAGTTTTCTGGTAGCTCTCAGTGAACATTGATCAGCTGTGAACTACCCCATTATACCCAGAAGTAGAAGTCTGACTTCTTTTAAAATATTTTACTTATTCATATTCGTGATTAACAGTATCCTGTGCCCCAATCCATATTCATATAATAATTCATTTAAAATTATTTATTAATCACCTACTATATGTCAGGTACTAGGGACAGAGCAATGAACAAAACAAATACAGTTCCTGCCCTTGTGCACCTAATACCCCGGTGTGAGAGATAATAAGCAAATAATATAATGCTAAGTGGTAATTAAATGCTGTGAAGGGCCATGGAGCAGGGTCAGGGGACAGGGAATAGGGAGGGAGCTCTTGTTTTAAAGGGTGGCCGGGAAAGGCCAAAGGTGCAGCAGAGACCTGCATGAAGCCAGGCATCAAGCCATGTGAATTATCTGAGATAAGGGTATTCTAGGTGCAGGAACAGCAACTGCAGGGGTCCTGAGAAGAGAACACCCTGGAATGTTTAAGAAATAGTTGAGAGCAGCAGGGCTGGAATAGGGGGAAGGATGGTGGAAAATCATCTAGTGTTTCCTTCTTTCTCTTTCTATTATCTCTCATACCATGTCATGTTCCTTTTCTAAGGATTCTAATGGGGAAGAGAGCACCATTGTCTTTAAGATTCAATTTCTTATGGACTGAAAGTCTTCACAGCCATTCTTTTGAGATCATGGCCTACTACGATGTCCTGGGGCCTACACCTTCTACAGGTAAGACTTATTTGTTTTGTTTCCCAGGAAGCCTTTAAAATGGCTGCTCATTCAATACGTATTTATAGAGGACTGACCACATCCAGACACAGTAGTGAGCTAGGCATACAGAAACAGGCTGCTTGCAGCAGAACTGAAATGCTTAGTGTTTTTGGAGTTACTTTCTTTCTGCAGTGTATAAACACCCTTCATCCTTATGCCACTAGTTTTTAATTTAGGAAGTATGATCAAGTATTAACTATTTGTTGAGTATAATGGAGTGGAGAAAGAGCACAAAAGAAGTATGGATTTGGCCTGCAAGGAGCTTCTTTTTGTAGCAGGAATCCCAACTTGAGCCTAAGTTGAGTTGCACCAGGATTCAGGCACAATCTGGCTGACTCGGGAGGGTAAATGAGTCTTCTCTAATGGAAAAGACAGGTTAGGAACAGAGTTTCGGTTCAAAGTCAACCGATCAATGTCGAAGAGAAGGTGTATAATACTCAGCATCGATGGACTTATGCCTCTGTCTTTGGGAAAAAGACTTCAAAAAAATTGAGTAAAAACTGGAAGATCTGTTTCCTGGATGTCTACTAAGGCAGCTAGAGCTTAAGATGGCACAGCTTTGTAGCCTGAGTGGTAGATAGCTGCTCTGGAGTTACTCTATGGGCAGGGAAGGGGCCCAGAAGACCGGAGCAGCCAGGAGGACCACCTGAATTGAGAAAACGCAAGAGCAGGCCTCTCTCTCGCTCTCTCTCTATTTTTTTTTTTTTTTTTGTGAGGAAGACCGGCCCTGAGCTAACATCTGTGCCCATCTTCCTCTATTGTGTATGTGGGACGCCACCACATCATGGCTTGATGTGCGGTGCATAGGTCTGTGCCTGGGATTCGAACCTGCAAACACTGGGCCGCCAAACTATGCACTTAACCACTACACCACCAGGCTGGTCCCAGGGCCTCTCTTTTTGATGGTCTTAGTTCCCTGGTACTGGCAGGAGCAGCTGTGCCTTTGGCAGGAATGGCCACTGCTGGTGGCATTACTATTTTTGGTGGGCCCATCAATGCTTTTGGTAGCAGCAGCCACAGAAGACATAAAACACAGCACAAAAGAGCAGAAGAGGATAATGGCAGATACCATGTGGTACAGAAAGAAAGAGGCTGCAAGCACATGTGAGATGGTCCCTGGGGGTATCTTAAGGGGGGGAGAAATTTGAGGGAATTTGAATGCCTAAAACAAGTGGGAAGTGATAAGGACAGAGTCATAGAATGACATTGTTATGGTCATTGTGATGCTATTTTTCTCCCTAAGATGTTGTGGTATCTGGAGTGAGATATGAAATACAAACTCTAATTATACTCATGAAAAGGGGGGGTTAAAGTATCTGCATTTTAGGCAAGAAGATGACGGCCCTGTTATGGACTGAATATTTCTGTCCCCTCAAAATTCATACACTGAAACCCTAACCCCTAATGTGATGGTATTAGGGGATGAGGCCTTTGGGAGGTAATTAGGTTTAAATAAGGTTAGTGACCTTATAAGAAGGGGAAGAGACGCCAGAACTTCCTCTCCTGGCCATGTGAGGATACAGTGAAAAGGCGGCCATCTTCAAGCTAGGAAGGGGTTCCTCACCAGGAACCAATCTACCGACACCTTGATCTTGGAGTTCCCAGCCTTCAGAACTGTGAGAAATAAATTTCTCTTGTTGAAGCCACCCACGCTATGGTGTTTTGTTATAGTAGCCTAAGAGAGGCCCAGATGACTAAGTGATTTACATAGACGTGAACATATTCTCCAGAGAACTTGGGGGTTGAGTCTAGGCTTCCACTTGACTTAAAACTTATGTATTGTCTATGTGACAAAATGGCGGAACTGAAAATGCCATAGCAACTTGTGAGCCAATACATGACCAGCAATCCTGCTCTAGCTTAGCAATAGGTATAAAATATTTTCATTGATCTATTCATTTATTTATTTCATTCAACCAATATTTCTGGAATAGCTACAATGTGCCATTATATACTTACAATGGAATAGGTGGGAAATCAAGATTTTTCCTCCTTTGGGGCTCATGTTTGGTAGAGGAGAGATTCATGAGCCAGTAACCCTGAAACGTTTGTTATTTCCTAAAGCTCCACGCTCTCTCCTATCTCTATGTCTTTGCACAATGTTTCCCTTGATACACTTTTCTTAGCCTGCCCCATCCTACATTCCCTCCTGAAAGTTCCTGCTTACCCTTCAAGACTCAGCTCAGCTTCAGCTGAACTTCCTTCCTTAATTCTTCCCAGACCTGCCTCTCCTGCTTTCTCATAGAATCCTCCCTGAGTCACTCTCGTAGCACGATCTCTTGTGTTGTCATCAGGCATAGATTCAGCTTCCTATTGTATTGTGAGCTCCTTGAGGATGAGGTTTATCTTTGTGCCTAGCCCTGCATTATTCGGTACATATTTATCGAATAAAGGGAACGAATGAACATAGCACTGGTCCTCCCCTCTTTCAGCCAGACTCAGAGCAACATGTTGACTTTCTTGAGCTGGTTCTTTCACTTATCGGCACTGTTGGGTAGTGTGTTGCTTATATTAAAATTCTCTTCTGTTGTGCTGTAATTTGTCCGTATATATGTATGGCATGCTTACCATGTTCTACGAACTCTGTTAGAACTGAGGGTACAAATATGAGTAAGACATGGTGGGGTTTATAGTCTGGAGGAGAAAACTGGCACATACATAGGTCATTTTAATATAACATCATCTATATTAAGACAGAGGTGTGGGGAACTCTGAGATAAGATAGGGTACTAGGAAGGAGAGTGTGGACTCTGACAAACCTGAGGTTTTAGTACGTCTTCTTGGCTCTGATAATCTTGCTGAGCCTATAAGATTTTTAAAAATGCCGTGATTTATCCAGCACCTATTATGTGCCATACATAATTCTCATTGCCCTAGAATTAACCTGATTAAATGAATCCTGTTTGATCTGCACAACAAATCTGAAAGGAAGAATACTATCCCCAGTTTGAATATTAAAAAACAGCCTTAGGACCTGGCCCGGTGGCGTAGTGGTTAAGTTTGTGTGCTCCACTTTGGCAGCCTAGAGTTTGCAGGTTCAGATCCTGGGCGCAGACCTATGCACCACTCATCAAGCCATGCTGTGTCAGCGTCCCATATAAAGTAGATGAAAATGGGCAGGGATGTTAGCCCAGGGCCAATCTTCCTCAGCAAAAGGAGGAGGATTGGCAACAGATGTTAGCTTAGGGCTAATCTTCCTCACACACACACACACAAAACAAAAACAAAAACAAAACAAGAAAAAACTAAGCTCTAGAAAATTTAAGCAACTTGCCCATGATTATGTAGCCAGTAAGTGCAAGAGCTGGGATGCAAATCTAGGTCCATCTGACTGTGTAGACTGACATAACATCAAAGTCACATGATGGAGAGAACACTGGGCTTGAAGCCAAATCCCACATCTATTTCATAGTATCTATGTGACCTTGGGTAAGTTTTGTAAAACTGAAGTCTCACTTTTTTTCACTTATAAAACAGAGATGAGAAAATTATCTTGCAGGATATTCATGAGAATTAAAATATGAGATTTAATTTGAACTCATGTAGCAAAGTGCTTAGCTCAATGAATATTTATTAAAAGATAATTCTGTCTCCTTAGGTCTCACCATAGGCCCATGAAGCTCTTGTGTTTCTGCAAAATGCTCTTTCTCTTATACAGACTTCAAAAGCACAGTTGTTAGGCTACAGCAGCTCCTGGGTAATTGTCTTGAGGATTTGAGGTTATATCAGTAGCTTCCGAGCTAAAATGTCTCCCAGAGGAGTAGAAGCATATTTTTACACTGGCTTTAAGTCCCCTAAGTTCTTGAGCACAGCTGTGTGAAATGAATTGAAAAAGACTGAAATCATTCTGTAACCCTGCTTATCTCCGCTGATGATGGGGAATGGGTTTAACAGAGACCGGTAACTCACACCAGTTCTAGGATTCCAAGGAATTTTAGTGGGCAACTAAATGTTTGCTGATGATTGTCAGAGCAAGACTTAGATGATCACATCAAATCTTCACAGGCATCTTAATATTATTCCCTGCACATCTTACACATGTGCTAGACAACCAATAGCATGGCCTGTGTGCCACAATGCAGCCCAGAGCCATGAGATTTGACAAGGACATGGTTGACAACATTCCTGCTCTAAATATGATTCTCAGACCAGCCGTATCAGCGTCACTTGGGAACTTGTTAGAAATACAGAATCTTGGGCTCCACTCCGGACCTACTAAATTAGAAACTGCATTCCAAAAGATTCCTGTGATTCTTGTGCTCATGAAAGTCTGAGAAGTACTGAATTAGCCACTAATTAGGAAGCACTGGGGCTCAGATCTAACCTGCAGTAGAGGGCAGTAGGGTGGCAATAGATGGTTTAACTTCCCAGCTGTGTGACTTTGGGTAACCTGTTTTACCTCTCTGACTCTATTTCCTCATTTGTAAACTGGAGATAATAATAGTTCCTACATCACCCTTGTTAAAGAGTAAATGTGTTAATAAATATAAAGCACTTCGAATAGTACTTGATTCATAGCAAGAAAGCTAAGCATTCTTGTTTTATAGATGATGATGATGATGATAAAATAAAGCTTAATAAACTCACGTAAGTCACACAGTTAGAGCAGAAATAGAAAATGATAAGCCTCAAAAGTAATTTAAGTTAGAGACTTAAACCAACTTAGGTTCCTGTCAATGAATAACCTTAAAGGAGGGGAAGTGTTGAAACAGTAGTGGCTTTGAGGAGATGATCTCTGGGTCAGCCATGACACATCATATCAGATAGAGAGCAATAGGTCATCAAATATCTGACATACTTATTGCATACCAATATTTAAGTTAAATTATTGTCTCTTCTATCTTTTATCATATAAGCCTGAGTTTCTTTCAAAGTCTGTTTGCTAAGAAAGGCAGAGAGCCTCCTAAAAAAATTGAAAGGTCTAGTTGAATAATCTAATGACTGTTGCCCTGTAAGTTTGAGACTAGATTATGTTTGTTATAACAGCATTTATGAGAATATTTGCCACAGACAACTCTATTTGTTCATTGATGTTTATCA